TTTCGGGGCCATAGAACCTGGATTCATGCTGGCAGTGGGCCTTGAGATGGAGCTGGCGCTACCGCAGTTGGAATAAAAGAACTACAGGGACAAAGGTTAATAATAATAGCTAATTTTAGTCACTTTATGTCATTTAATTCCTCCTCCCCTGCAACATCAATTCCAAAGCTAGGAATTCTCACCCTCATTTTATAGAAGAGGAAACCAAAACTCAGCAAGTTCAGCAACTTGCCCAAAGTCACACAGTGAGCAAGTGGAGGAGCAAGTATTGAATTTAAATGCGCCTAACCACAAAGCTCTTGCCATTAACCCTACGGTAGAGGGACAAACTGAAGGCAAAAGGAAAAGGCCACATTCCCCCAACCCAGCAATCTTGTGCAGCTAAAGAGCCTGGCTGTGAAGCCAAAGGAGGCCTGGCCTGGCGGGTGGAGCCCATGAGGATCTGCCGCTGGAGAGGGTGACCTGAGCCCCCTGACACAATGAAGTGGGTACCGCTCACTAGATGCAGGGGCTGAAAAACACGTGGATTACATTTGCCCGGTGTGTAAATCATCGCGCAAGAAAACACGTTCCACCTTTAGGAATTAAAGGGATGCATTTGGTAAGAAACACGTATGTTTGACACGTACTCGTTGATAAAATACTCCAATCTTTCTGGATTGGTCCTACTTGGACCAATTTGCAAAAAGAACTTAAAATACTGGCTGAACAATGAGAGGGAGTAACTCCACTTTAGGAGATGGGTGCCTAGGAAATAAACAAGTCAGTAATAGCCCAGAGCAATGCCATTTGGGAAGGTGGAGCCAGAGAATTACCCCAGAGCCCAACAGAGGGGAAGGGGCTCAGCTCACCAGGAGAAATCGGCATCCGTCAACCACCCACCTGAGCCACTTGGGAGATTTACTTACAAACAGGTTGAGCTGGGAAGGACCCCTACTGTGTGTGCCTGTACCCTAGGTGCTGGGACCCTGTAGAGGCAATCGAGTATTATGGACATGAGCACAGGTCTGGCTTGAGAGCCTCAGTTCCCTCATCTGTAAAATGGGAATGAACTTTGCAATTATCAGCCTTGGGCCTGGTCAGTGGTAAGTTATTATTACTACACGCATGACACGCACAGACAATAGCAGCTCCACCCTCATTGCAACTGGACACAAATATTTTTGGCAGGGCTGGGAGATGGGAGGAGAGAGGCACACACGTGGTTGCAGAGCCCACTGGGAAATGGGGTGCCAGAGAGCTTGGTGCGGTGTCGAGCCACCTCCAGCCTGGGAGGGAGACCTACGCTGGGGAAATGGATTTGGCACAGATCTGCCACTCAGACGCCTGGTTTGCGGCAGTTCACTTCTCCCTGAGTCCTCATCACAGCCTGCCATGACCATGGTCCCTTTAGTGCCTCTGGGGACAACCCAGCCACTTCCTCTTGGCAGTCTAGGTCTCGGTATGAGTAAATTCTGCTGTGATCTGAATGTTTGCATCTGCCCAAAATTTAAAATGCATCACCCCAGGGTGATGGTATTAAGAGGTGGGGGTGATTGGGAGGTGATGAGGTCAGGAGGGTGGAGCCCTCAGGAATGGGATTTGTCTGTTTACGAGGAGCGGCCAGAGAGATCCCTCGCCCCTTCTGCCACGTGAAGGTACAAGGAAGAGAAGATTGTCTAGGACGAGGCCCCTCACCAGACACCGAGTCTGCCAGTGCCTTGATCTAGGTTTTCCCAGCCTCAGTCTGTAGCATTTTGCTACGGCAGCCCAAACGGACTAAGACAGATACCATTGCTCCCACAGTCAGCCAAAGAAGGTTAGACTCTTTCCCAGAAGAATGTTCCTAAGAAACGAGAGAGGAAACAAACTAAGAAATTAAAATGCAGCCACCTGCAAACAGGAGGGCTTCCAAGGCCTGGAGTCTTTATTCTGATAAGACCCTGCCCCTGTCTGGACTGGCAGCCTCCCAAACCTCCTCCTCTGCTCCACCCATGGCCTTGGCACACAGAGCGAGACTCTGTCTAAATAAATAGATAGATAAATAAATAAATAAATAAATACATAAAACAATGAGATACCCCTACGCACCCATTTGAATGGCTAAAATTGAAAACAAACTGACAACACTAAATGCTGGCAAGTATGAAGAGCAACAGGAACTCTTATTCATTGCTGGTGAGAATGCAGAATGGGACAGCCACTTTGGAAAAGTGCGACAGTTTCTTACAAAGCTAAACATAGGCTTACCATAAAATCAAGTCCTCTCACTCCTTACCCAGTTGAGTTGAAAATTTCTGTCCATACCAAAACCTACACATGAATGGTCATAGCAGCTCTGTTCATAATCACCCCAAACTGGGAGCAACTGAGATGTCCTTCAATAGGTGAATGGATGAACAAACCGTGGCACGTCCGTGCGTGGGACATGATTCGGCAATAAAAAGAAATGAGTCAGCAAGCCATGCAAAGATACGGAGGAACTTCAAGCACACGTTGCTAAATGAAGGAAACCAATCTGAAAAGGCTACTTACTGTGTGAATCCAACTGTACGACGTTCTGGAAAAGGCAAAACTGTGCACACAGTAAAACGATCCGCAGTTGCCAGGGTGGGGAGGGATGGCCAGGTGAAGCACAGGGGGCCCTTAGGGCAGCGGAACTGTTCTGTACGATGCTGTAATTGTGGACACGTGTCATTGTACATTTGTCAAAACCCATAGAACTGTACAACACCAAGAGCGAACCCTAGTGTAAACTGTGGACTTGAACTTGTTTAGTTAATTTTATTATCAATATCAGTTCAACTATAACAAATGTGCCTCAGTAATGCAAGATGTTAGTAGTAAGGGAATGTGTATCCAGGATGGGCAGCTAAATGTAACTATGTACTATCTGCTTGATTTTTCTGTAAATCTAAAACGGTGCTTAAAACATTTTCTATGGACTATTTGTTTTTAAGAAAGCTTTCACTGAAAGGCACATACTGTAAGAAAAGAAAGGAAAAAGAAAAAAAAAAAAAGAAAGCTTTAAAAACTATTTATAAAATAAGGCCAGGTGCAGTGGTTCACGTCTGTAATCCCAGCACTTTAGGAGGCAGAGGCAAGAGAATCGCTTGAGACTAGGAGTTCGAGACCAGCCTGGGCAACAGAGCAAGACCCCATTTATAAAACAAATGGAAAAATTAGCCAGGTGTGGTGGCCTGCACCTGTAGTCCCAGCTACTTGAGAGGCTGAGGCAGGAGGATCCCTTGAGCCCAGGAGTATGAGGTTGCAGTGAGCTATGATGACCCTACTGTACTCTAGCCTGGGCAACAATGAGATCCTGTCTCAAAAAAAAAAAGTATTCAGCCAGTGTTATGGGCTTTGCAGGCAGACAGTCCAGGGTTCAAGTCCTAGATCGGCCTCTATAACACCTGAACCAGCCTTGGCTTCCTCCGTCCTTCCTCCTTAACAGCCATGCCTTATACGGTGGCACTGGGGGATTCCCGAACTCTCGCACTGCCCTGTGAGAGAGAAAACTTGCATTGCCTACAGGATTTCCATGGGCAGAGAGAGGAGTGGCCTCCTATTACACCTCAGGAGGTGGTAGGGAGTAGACAGGGAGGAGAGTGGAGCAGGACCAGGAGGCGCCCTCTCCAGAGATGTCATCCAGCAAAGGTTTCCTGTCTGTGGGAGGACACTGGAAAGCACCTGGCCCTGGCCCCACTGCAGCCCCGCCCCAGCTGGGCCGGCCAGTCTGCCGGCCTGGGGCATCGTGCAGGCTTTACTGGGGCCAGCACAGCCTCTCCAAAGAGACACCCAGTGCAGTACAGAGGGGACAGAGCCTGGAGCGAGGAGGCCGGGAGAGCCACCACCCTGCCCTGCTGTGCCCCTGGCCACTGTGGGGCCTGGGGAGAGCCCCTAAGCAGCATCTTCATTCATAAAATGGCACCACAGGGCAGCGGGGAGGACACAGGAGAGGGTGGAAGAGAAAGCTTAAATGCACTTTGCTCTCAAAGGCAGCAAGGAACGGGGAGTATCATTGCCGACAGACCCAGCGACCAGTACAGAGCTGCAAGGCCCTGAGCATGGCCTAACCTCTCCAAGCCTCAGTCTCTTCATCTGAGATATGGGAACAACAGCAACACTTTGCCTGCCGGGCTCTGTAGGAACCCGGTGAGATGGTGCCTGCACAGGACTTAGCTGTCCCTGCCAGGGCTTCCTCTGCCACAGCTGCAAACATGGTAGTAATCCTGTGTCAGATCTGAGGACCAAGGAGCCACGGTATCACCACCATCAGGGGTGGCGTTCATTGCCTGTCAGGTGCTGGGCTGGAGCTGGACAAATTTCAGTCACGTGGACAAGGTCTTGGCACCCAGAGGGCTGGGTTGGAAAACATACAGTTGCAAAAGGCAAAATGAGCTTAACAGTTACGGTTGAGACTCTGAGCTCTGGAAGAGAGTTATTGAATGGAAGGAGGAGGAAGGCATTGAGTGACATGGAGCCTGGAGGTGGTCTCTGGCCCGTGCTGGCAGTGCAGAGCTAGCCAGAGAGAGGGAGCGGTGTTGACTCACTGGTGGGTGTGGGGCCCTGGGGACGGGCTGCCAGGGCCAGGGGAGCAGGGAGAGGCATGCCGGGGAGACAGATTTGGGAGATTTCCACCCAGCATAGAGGGCTCGAGTCAAACTGCCCGGTTCAAATCCCAGCCCTACCACCTACTGACTACCCTAGGGCAGGTGACCTAAAACCCTGGGTCTTGGTTCCCAGATGTTGACAGCACCCGCCGCACAGAGTTGCAGTAAGGGTTTGAGATCAAGCCTGCTCAGCATTGGACACAGTGCTTGGCCCAGTGTAAACAGTAGCAGCTGTGTTTACGGTTATCGAGGGGAGGGCTGGGCACAAGTTGCTCTGCCCTGGGTCCCGCCTTTGCACGGGCCTGTTGTATTAATATATAACTGCCTGGGCTGGATCACATCAGAGCAGTGGCTCCATCCCCACCTCACACAGAAGTCTCCTCGGCAGCTCACCCAGCCTCTCCTTACCTGCCTCCACTAACGGGGAGCTCACCACCCCACAAGGCATCCTGCTTCACGTTCAGACAGCTCTGATCACAAGCTCTCTAGGCTGAGCTGAAATCTCCTCCCTGCGAACTGCCCCTTAGTGGAAATGATTTTTCTGCCAGGGACTTTCCAATGCCTGGAATCCACCCACCCCATGAATGCCAGGAATCCCCTGAGCAGGGCCCAGGCACTGCCCCAGGAAGTGTCCCCCAAGTTCTGGCCCTCTCCTGCCCTGCAGAATAGAGTAATTCCTTCCACAGGGACATGGACAAACACCCCAGTGCCTGGGTCTGTTGCCATCTTTCCTGTAACTCTTAACTGGAGGCAGAAAGCGTTGGATGTCCACAGGCCTGATGCTAATAACAGCAGTTCACGTGCGTTGCCTCACCCGGGCCTCACAGAATCCCCCTAAGGCACCCACTGTTTCCCCCAGATTTTTTAAATAATGGTAAAAACATAACATAAAATTTACCATCTCAACCATTTTCCAGTGTAAAGTGGCATTAAGTGCATTCATACCTTTGCGCTCCCATCACCACCACCCACCTCCAGAACTTTTCCATCTTGTGAAACTGAAACTCCATCCCCATCCTCCCTCTCCCCAGCCCCTGGCAGTCGTCCTCCTACTGTCTGTTTCTGTGAGTTTGACTGCTCTACCTCCCTTGCCTAAGTGGAATCAGACAGTATTTGTCTTTTTATGCCTGGCTTATTTACTTCCCTTAGCATGATGTCCTCAAGGTTCATTCATGTTGGAGTGTGTTGACAGGACTTCTTTCCTTCTAGGAGCTGAATAAATGCCATTGTATGGAAATACCACATTTTGTTTACCCATTCGTCTGTGTCGATGACAAGTTGCTTCCACCTCCTTGCTATTGTGAATGATGCTGCCGTGAACGAGAGTGTGCAAATATCTCTTAGAAACCCTGCTTTTAATTATTGTCGGTATATACCCAGAAGTGGAATTGCTGGATCATATGTTAATTCTATTTTTAAGTTTTTGAGGACTCACTGAACAGATTTCCACAGCGGCTGCACCAGTTTACATTCCCACCAACAGCGCACAGCTTCCAGTTTCTCCGTATCCTCAGCAACACTTGTTTTCCTTTTTTTTTTTTTTTGTAGTAGCCATCCTGACGGGTGTGAGCGTAGGGAGATACCATGTTTACCCCCATTTTGCAGCTGCAGAAAGTGGACCTGGAGAGACATGGTCACTTACTCAAGGTCCCAAGGTGGCAGAGCTAGGATTCAAGCTCAGGGCTGTCAACACCCTTGTCCCCACAAATCCTTGCTGTCCAACTGGTCAGTGACTGCCCTGGGCCTCAGCATTGTCTGCTCTCCATCCAGGTCCTGGTCAGGTCAGTGACCTGAATGAGACCACCCCGGGAGCTGTAAGACCCACCCCAGCCCCTGGATTCCCCCGACATAGGCAACTCTGAAACTAGCATTTCCGACTGGGCCTCTCTCTTGGGTAGCGGGAACAGGGCCTTGGGGCTGGCTCGGCAGCCACCAGATGTCAATGAATTCTTGGATATGACACCAAAAACACAGGCAACAAAGGCAGAAATACACAAATGGGGCTACATCAAAATTAAAAGCTTTGTGCATCAAGGACACAATCAACTGAGTGAAACGCCAGCCTATACAGAAGGGAGAAAATATTTGCAAATCATACATCTAATTAAGGGTTAATACCCAAAACATATAAAGAGCTCCTACAATTCAATAACAAAAAATTAAATAACCCAATTGAAAAATGGGCAAAGGACTTGAATAGACATTTCTCCCAAGATGATATACAAATGGACAAGCACATGCAAAGAGCATTAGTCATTAGGGAAATGTAAATCAAGACCACAATGAGATAGCACCTCACACCCATGAGAATGGCTATTATCAACAACAACAACCAGAAAATAACAAGCGTTGGCGAGAACGTGGAGAAACTGGAACCCCTGTGCACTGCTGGTGGGAAAGTAAAATGGTGCGGCCGCTGTGGAAAACAGTATAGTGGTTCCTTCAAAAATTAAAAGTAGAATTACCATATGATCCAGCAATTCCACTTCTGGGTACATACCCAAAAGAATTGAAAGCAGGGACTTGAAGGGTATCTGTATACCTATGTTCGTAGAAGTAGCATTCATAATAGCCAAGAGGTGGAAGCGACCCAAGTGTCTGCTTCTGGGTGGATGAAGAAACAAAATACGGTGTATATATGTGTATGCACAATGGGGTATCATTCACCCTAGAAAAGGGAGGAAATTCTGTCACGTGCCACAACCAGGATGAACCTTGAGGACATTATGGCTAAGAGAAATAAGACAGATAACAAAAAGACTGTATGATTCCATTTACATGAGGTCCTTAGAGTAGTCGAACTCACAGAGAAAGACAGCAGAAAGGGTTCCCAGGGACTGGGGGGAGGGAGGGGGAGCTGTTTAGTGGGTACAGGGTTTCTGTTTTGCGAGGTGAAAAAGTTCTGGAGATCTGTTGCACAACACTGTGGATATACTTAACGCTACTAAACTGCACATTGAAAAATAATTAAAATGGCTACAAAAATGCCTGCAGAGAGATTTTAATGTCATGAGAAAGTAGGAAGACAAGGCAGCAGGGTGCTGGCTCTTGGGAAAGTGGAAAGGGCTGGAGGGAGGGGACGTTGAGAAGGCATCGGGGGGATAGGCCAGAAGGGAGATTGGGACTTAGTGGTAGATTCCTGGCCAGAGTGTGGGCTTTCTCATGCTGTGACAGGCAACAGGCACCCCAGAAAGCACTGGAGCAGGGCCGTGACCTTTCCAAACAGCTGCCGGGAGGAAGTCGCGTCTTTGGCCTTTCAAACTCATAGCCTTGATCTGAACCTTCCTAACTGTAGGCCAAGTCCCAACCCATTCACCTCTCCTGACCTGGAGAGGGCCCCAAGGGGGAAGCCTGGCTGGTGGTCCAGGCGCGCTGGGACGCACAGACGGAGCTCTCCAGGCAGCCCCTGGGAAGTTCTAGAAGTAGGTTCCCAGGCTGACTGCAGCCCAGTCCCCAGGGGACACCACTCCCACTTGTGGGACACGGCCCTCACATGCGAGCATGCACAACAGCCAGAGCCAGGAACCCCCCTGGGATTGTCCCAGGCCTGGAGGTCACAGTTCTCAGACTTCCGGACAGTACTGTCTCAGGGGTAGGGGACAGTAGGGGGGGTTGTGGCCTCCAGAGACACTCTACAGACCCCGGAAGGAAAGAGCTGTAAGAAGCCTGATTGCTTTGCATCCTAATGTGAAACGGAAGAGATCTCCATGTCCTGGTGGTGGGGATAGGACCAGAACCCCAGGGCCCCAGAACCCAGGGCCCCAATTCCTAAACCCCACTCTCTGCAGCTATTTATGTGGGGTACCATCAGAGCCCCTGAGACAGGGCGGAAGGCTGGAATCGTACCAGGATGCCAACACCGTCCCCCGCCTCTCTCAAAGCCGCCAGAACAGGCATCTCACAACCCGCTTAAGTCCCCACATCGCTGAGATCAAGTTGAAATTCTCACCTGACCTTCAAAGTTCTCCACAATCCGGTTCCTTCCATCTCAGCTCCCTCTCCTTTGCCCTGCACCCCGCCCGTAGCCCTCCTGCACTCAGACTTTGGCTTCCATCTTGCTATGGCTGCTTCTTCCCAGTCTCTGCCTAATCGATTGCTCTTCACTCTTACGCACGGAGCTGCTCCCTGCGTGCCCGGCAGACTTGCTCATTGTTCTCTCTGCTTCCACAGTGCAGGGTGCGGGCCTACTTCAAGAGCAGGGGGGCTGTCTTATGCATCTCTCGCCCTGGTTTCCAGCACCATGGCCAGACAACCCAAAAAATGTTTGCTGACCGAGAAGACAAACCCATGAGTTTTCTGCCTGTCTTCCACGGCTAATTCTGGTACCTTCCCAGAGGCTCTGGGGCATAACCTTAACCTTTCTCAGTAAGGGGTCCCTAAGTGCCAGGTGCCTTGCCTGTGTTATCTCATGTAGTTCTATGGCACAGGGGTTAACATTTCTATTTTACACATGAGGAAACAGACTTGGAGAAGTCCAGTGACTGCCCACAGGTGGGAAGTGGTGGGGCCAGGACTAGACCCAGCGGGACTAGCTCCAGGGCCTGAGCCCACATACCATGTGGCCTCCCAATAACCTACCACAGCCGCCGCAGGGTGGGAAATGCACCCACAGCGGGAGTTCTCCGCTCCGTCCCGGGATCCCTTAAACCTGCGCTTTGAGGCAGGTGGCTGAGATGGGAAGGGTGGTACCCAGAGGTGACGGCAGGGGGAGGCTGAGGGCCTGGGGGACCTCCAGAAGGAGGCCTGAGCCAGATGCCCAGCCCTCCAGCCTCAGGATAGATGGGGCCTCATCAAAAAATCCTCTAACAGGTGATGAAACCACCCATCCACTCTTGACCTTCTCAGTTCTGCCCAGGGAAAGCCTCAGGCCTAGAAGAGCCCTCCAGGGGTGCTTATTAAGCACCACCAGACATTGTGCTAGGTCCCCGTCTTCCAACATCCCTAACAAGTCTTATAATTTCTGTTTTACACATGAACTGAGGCAGAATGAAGTTATTAGGTGAGAGGTCAAGGTCAGGCAGCTACAGTATACAAACCCAGGCTAGTCTGCCTTCAGAGGCCAAGCTCCTAACCACTGTGCCAGACTGCTGCCATCCTCCTTCCCGAAAAATCCCAGCGATCACATGTCCCTCGTCCACCCCATCCTGACACCATGGTCCTGGAAATCAGTAAATCAGTCCTCTAATTCTTGTAAGTGAGCTGAACCCATGTGTGGCATGAGCTGAGCTACAAAAATGTTCTTGCCCTTTGTCCCATGTATTTGTTCTGGATGGAGAATAAAATCCAAGGAGAGGGGAAAAAAAACAACTTAAAAGACCAAAAAAAATTGGACAAATCTCAATCCAAGGGAAAAAAAAAACAAAAAGACCAAAAAACATTATTTCCACAGAGTTGTCCATAAAAGCAGAATTATTAATTGCAAAACACCTGGAAGAAATCCCACATC